TTTATTTTTTGATTTTTTTCGCATAATATATCAAAAATCAAAATCATGACTCATCACTGATATTTCACTTGGCTTATGTTACAGCTTACGCCTTACAGTGAATATTAAGTTGGATGAGTGTAATTTTGTGGCAATAGGTGGTGAAAATTTTTGAAGTTTGCTACAGTTTACAATACATGGCTGTCCTATTTCAGTTAGGGGCTTATTGTGATTTTTGAAAATATGCAAAAATATTTTAATTTTAATGCTCTAAGTAAAATGACCGTGGCTGACTACAAATAGCTTTTGGTTGAATATTGTTTGAATTTGCTCATTTAATTTATTGAAACATTTAACAATGTTAAACATTAGGTTGATTGAGTTTTTTAATGTAAATAAAATGTGGTTAGAAATTTTATTTACTGGTAAAGGATATAAGTGAGTTATAATAAAATAGTGAAGCCGTTAAAGGGTAAAGGGTTAAATTAAATTAAAGGATCATTCTTTCTTTTGGCTTTCTTCAGACGTATCAACAACAAACATACACACAGCATACATGAACACACATGAAAACCATGTACCACACACATTGCTTATGATAGCTGGGATAACTTTGTAATCAAACCCAGTCTCTGCAACAGCAGGACCACAGGTGCCTTTAACCATTGAGCTATTACGCTGCCATAAATTGCATAGTTGACCATAAAATTAGCATTGGCTGATTATGCTGGCTGATTGCCATCAATTTTATTTTTAATTGTCTTGCAATGTAAAACTAAGGTATCATTTTGTACATTAATATATAAATTATTCAAAATTCAACTATTTTTATTTTTTTAAAACATTTAATATCGTGGCTAATTTTGGCTAATTGGGATTTTTTATCGATAAATGGCAAATGACTTAATTCGTTAAGTGGCTGATTGCAATATTATATTTGGCTGATTGTGATTATTTCAATGAACAAATTTAAGGCAGGCATTGATTGTTGGATGAACAACAATCAATCAACGAATCAGCTGTGCTAGCATGCCTGACAACATGCTCTCTGGATAACCTCCAGAACAGCATTACTGCTACTACTACTACTACATTTGTCGACAATTTTAATGAATTAAGTCACTCTGCCAATTGATGTGACCTATTGAGTAACAGAACAAATTTCATGTTTCAAATTTCCAACCTGGTTAAGACGGTTAAGTCGTTAAGGTTAAGACGGTTAAGTCGTTAAGTTGACGTTAAGTTAACTTAATTACCGTTTTTAACAGTAACTATTGGTAGAAATGCCGTCTTGGGCTGCTTCCTTCAGTAAAGCATTAAGGTTACTTTAGGAATGAGTTTTAATTGGAATAAAATCTCTTTTCACTTATTTTGTACAGTTATTATAAATAAAAGATTATTGAATAAAACTCTCCGTTAGTTAGTAAATTTATGTAAATAAAATATTGAATTAAACTCATTGTTCTGTATTTATATTTTATATTGCGTGTTTGTAGCGGTAGTGGAAATCTAGCAACACAGAGTTATATAACTGTAATTCTCGTTCTGTATTTGCTCAACATAAACGTTAATTAAGTTTTGGTTTGAAAAACGAAAATTAAAAAAAATATATTGATTACTTAGTAAAAAGTAAATAGCCAATATTTTTCATATAAAATTACATTTTCATAACTTTTGCTTTCCTAATGCTTATATCCTATCGCCACTCGTTTTTGTTAAGGTAATGAATTATCATTGCTGGAAATTCTTTTCTATAGTAACCGACATTTACTAAAACCAAATTTTTACTTTAGTAAGTCAATTTTTTGTCAAGATGAAAGTGCAGTAGGCTAACGTAATATTTCAGTAGACCACTTTCAATGGCGGGTCTGGGGAATGTGGAGACCAAGAAAAATATAATGAATCTGTATCATTTTTGCATTATTTTATTTCATAATGTAGTATTTCTACATTAAAAATTGTTGAATCTAGAGAATATTGAGAATTAAGATTAACTATTACGGTGATGCATACCCATGTCAATGAAGTTCTATGAAGCGCATTAAGCCTGTGGTAATCTTTCAAGTTATTTCAATATTTTTGGCATCAAAATGCCTGCCAACGGCTGAATAATGAATGGCTTACTCATTTGTATTGAATGTGAAGTGAATGGATGAACGTTAACGTTTTGACCAGTTTATTTTTTATCATGGGTTTTGTTAATGCTGCAAATATCACGAAAACCTGTTTATGTAATAGTTCATTTGGGAGTTTTGCCCCAGGCACTTTTGATAAAGGTTTGAGTTTTGCCCGATAAAATTTATTAGGTATAGTTTTAACATTTTTGGAATTGGATAATAGACATGCCAGACTACCAAAATCAACAATGAATTGGGGAAATTATTCAATCTGCTGCGTGTTCTAGCTCGCGAAACGTTAGCTATGTATAGCTTCTTGCCCCATGCCACCTCAACCCACATTTTATGATAACAGGGATCCAAAATTTGTATAAACATGATAGAATTTGATACAAATAATTGTTACATAGCGGAAAGAAAGGGTGAAATTGAATTTTTTTGACAGCATTTGCAAATTTTAGGATATATAATATTTTATAAAATTTTTTTATGTTTTATTATTGGTATAATATTACAAATGAGCGATGCAAGTACATGCGCTCCGAAAATTACTTAGTGATGTCTGCCTAGAAGTGCAACATCGTTCTTAAAAACATTGAAGCAGTTGGTCGTACGTTGATGTAATTATTTCGGGTGATTTTTGCTCAACAGACCAACATTTTTTCGTCGATTTTTTGAGAATTTCTAAGAGTGTGATTATCATAGAAATATCGATGTTAATATCGATATTTTATGAACGATATATCGATGTTTTGCATATATCGATATATCGTTTGTCTCTTTACCAAAGATAGGATTTATATACCATCGACAACACTTACATCAACGTATGACCAACTACTTCGATGTTTATAAGAACGGTGTTGCACTTCTAGGCAGACATTACTAAGTAATTTTCGGACCGCATGTACCTACATTGCTCACTTAAATATGCTTTTCTATAAACCATATAAAATTTTTAACTTTTTGGTTGCACTATTGGACAAACTTAAGTCAACCTAAACAAAAATGCTATTGTGTTTGTAATTATATTTTTCTCCAGAAAAATACATATAAAGAAATGAATGAAAATATAAGGATATATTCAAAATGCATAAAATTTGTAAAAGTTTATTCATGTTATAATGCCTGTAATAACATGAAGGTAAACGTAAAGGCTGACATAATTTGATTTACTGATTGGTGCTGACGATTGTTAAATTAAGATAAGGGTCTTGTTAAATTAAGATAAGGGTCAAATGCGCTGCGCACAGGTGTTATAAATTGTGTTTCAAATTGAAGGTTTATATAAATATATTGCATGTTAATGTTCGAGCCAGGTCAGCCAGGTTTTCAATGATAAGATAACAATACAGATGATTTATTTTTATAGTATTTTAATCTATTAAATAGAATCCTATCTTGAGCCAAAAATTTTTTGATGGCAATAATGTTTTCAAAGTCGTTTTTCTAACTCCTGCGAAAAGTTGTCAACTATCTTTAAAATACTATCTTTAACTTTCAACTTGATCAACAGGAGCGAAAAAATTGGTCCAGCTTCATACAACTTTAATTATGTTTTCAAAGTGCTTTTCAAGATTGTTAAGCAGTTTTTCTAAAATAAATATTTGTAAACTTATTTTGGAGCCAAGCGATATTTAAATTTGCTGTTATTTTTAATTACGTCTTAATGAAGTCGAAATTTCAAAATGAAACTGGCAGTTATTTTTTTCCTATTAGATACCACCAGATTCTTAGTAAATACCCATGGATATTTTTGCTTATACCAACTTTCTTGACAATTGCACTACTAGGCATAATTATTTATCATCAAAAGTTTCCTGACTTTCTAGATCCAAGAAAGGTTATTTGCGTGACTTTTTATTTTTTATTTGTTTTGTTGTTAGCCTTTTTTATTTTTTGATTTTATTCATATTTTTCTTCATAATTTGAGAAATTCTGGTGCAGTTTTTTTACGCTTATGATGTTAAACTTTTTATTATAAAGGGTTTTAAAACGACGGGAACATATATCAGCGAATCCTCACGTTGTTTTGAACAACTTTTGAAAAGTTCAAAAGGAATAGCTGACTTTCATTATGAAAATATGAATAATAATGATAACTTTCCGGTTTATGATGAAGGGCTTTATAATTCAGAAAATTATGACGAACATCGTGCTGTCGATGGTTACGAGCATGTGACGACTTCATCTATTGATCAATATTTTTGTGGCGATCCTAGTTAGTTTTATTTAATTAATTAAAAAAAATAGTTGAAGTTATATATAAATTAATATTTTATAATTGCTGCTGTAAACGTTTTAAAATGTTGTTTATTTACTACATTGTTAATATTTAAGCGTTAAATTAAAACAAAAAAGATTTCATAATATGCGCTTTAAATTTGTGTTAAAATATTTTATCATTTAAAAAATGAAATAGAACATTTTTTGATAATTCAATAATCATTGGCGTAGGAACTACAACATGCGTTCGGATGAAATCCATCATTTGCTCATTTTATCTATAGCAGTTTGATAGAACAAAAAAAAACTAAAAAAATTGGTCGTAGTGAGCTAACTTGCTTAAACAAAAGTGTATTCAAGAATGAATTGGCAAGGAATATGTTGTGCTTTGATGCAATTTTGTTATGACTGTTATTTAGTTGTGATGACGTTTCGTATCACAGATCTAGATAACTATTAGATAAGTCACGCTCATAAACTCGTATATTTTTATTACTAGAGATCTTCTTATCAAACTCTGAAGAATTAACTCAAAATTTATAAAAAGTGAACTCATATGTCTATGTAAACAATAAAATATAGCTAAATATTAAAATATTATTAATTTCATTATAACAATAACTTTATTTTGAAGATGTTGGTTATTCAAAGTTGCTCTTCAAAAGTCTGGACGGTTCTTCGCTGATGAATTTGAACAACGTTAAATCTATGTGCCTGCTGGAAGATACGTTGAAGTCGTCTTGTAGAAAATTTTTTGAGTGGCATTGTGACAAACAGATAATAAATTATAATATGAGTCCTTTCTGTTGTAAATCTTGGTCTTTGGGGAATTACATTGCAATGATTAACAATAAAACTGATTGCCTAGAACTAATTGAAAACGATTTGTTGAAAGTTGAAAGTCTCCTAAAATGTTGTGCTAATAAAAGCCCTGCGTATAATAAAACATATGTCGAGAAGTGCTTGAATAATTATTCTGACGTCAACAACACCAGTTTGGATATGAGTCTTTGCACATTTTACGCCCATGAGCTCGACATCGTTCGGAAGTACATAGTTGATAAAAATTTTGGAAAAAGCGGGTTTCTTCTCAACGCATTGTCATTTGTTCCATTAAGTTATGGAATAACTTCAAAAAAATTTTTCCAATGTGTTATGAATGTTGATCTGAAAAAAAGCAATATTGAAATAGTAGCAATGAGTTATGATTTTAAACACAATATTTTTGATGAACAATTATTGTCTGACTCACTGTTCATTCTTCTTAGTGCTGTTTGTGTTATTATTTTGTTATTCTTGTACACCAGATCGATTTTTATAACGTTATCTACTGTAATTATGATTTTTTATTCCGTTGTTTTTTCCTATTTTATCTATTCGTACATCTTATCTATTCAATTCTTTCCTTTTATGAATCTCTTAACATTCATAATATTGATTTCAACCGGAGTTGATAATGTATTTATTATATTTCATGATTGGTACGTCACATTTTCGAACAGTAATTCACTAACAACACAGAGTTGCCTTCAAATAAACCTCAAACACAGCTTTAAGTCTATTTTTCTTACCAGCCTAACTACTTCAACGGCGTTTCTCTCTGGTTATATGAACAATATCATTGTTTTGAAATGCTTTGCTTTGTATTCAAGTATTGCATTGCTTTCGTACTTTTTAATGGCATCATTCATGGTTCCTGCGATAATAATTTTACATTGCAAAATTTCTTCTATTTCATGCTTGAATATTACCTCATTTAAACATTTTTTTGACAGGGTCGACTTTCACCTAGGCATGTATTTTAATAGATTTATTACTTCACTTGTGGTTAAGTTGAGGTGGCTGTGGATATCCAGTTTTATTTTTATATCTTTGTCATCATTTTTCATAATTTTTATACGTCCAAAACTGAAAATTACTCAATCGAGTTCACTGAAGTTGTTCGTAGATTGGCATCCTTCAGAGATTTTTGATGAAATTATTAATTCCAGATTTAATTTCACAGTTTCAGACGAGGCAACGAGCTTACCCATTGTATTTGTTTGGGGTGTTAAATTGGAAAAACCTCTATCGAGGTTAAACATTGACGACGAATATAATGTAACCTACGACGAGTCGTTTAATCTCTTCACGTCTGCAGCGCAGTTATTTTTAGTGGATTTCTGCAAGAAAATAAGAAAATCTTCGTTTTATGCTCGTGAACCAGGTATAAAAAAGCATAGCTGCTTTATTGAATCATTTCAAAAATTGATGTCTCGCAAATGCGTAAATGTTTATGGTGCAGATCTTCACCCTTGTTGCTCCTCTACAAAGTTTCCATATCCCGAAAAAATTTTTAAGCATTGTTTATTTTTTTTGCTTCCAGAAATGTCAACGAATTATTTTTTTGATCAAACTGGGGTTCGTTTTGATCCGAGTTTTTCTCAGGTGATTGCATTAGTCATTGAATTTCCAAGCAACCAAACTATCAAGTCTAGTTACGAAGATTATAAGAAGTTCTACCATTATATGAGTAATTTTACTAAACTGGCCATGGAGCTAGATGCACCTGAAGAACTACGTGGAGGCTGGTTTACAAGTATTTTGAATTTTTATGATTTACAAGAAAGCATTATCACGGTCACACCCCTGTCACTGATTATATCTGTATTAGTCGCGGCTCTGTTTGCTCTTATAGTTACTGGCAATATTATTCTTACATGTTTTGTTGTGCTGAATATAACGTGCTCCTTAGTAATAACAACTGCCATTTTGGTCTTGATTGGTTGGTCCTTAGATATCTTTGAATCGATAGCAATATCTTTGACAGTTGGATTATCAGTAGATTTTGTTTTACATTACGTGAATGCATACCAACACACGAATGGAGCAGATAGACATACAAGAGTGAACGAAACTATCAAGGTAAGTGGTGCTATTACTTATGCAGCCTTATCAACTTTTTCTGTTGGATTGTCCTTGATACCGTCTAAAGTTCTTGCCTATAAGCAAATATCTTCTTTTCTTGTTGTGGTAATAGCGACGAGTTGGTTGTCTTCTTGTTTATTCAATCTTTCAATACTTTATGTTGCCGGTCCACTAAAGAACTTTGGGCAATTACCTTCAAGTTGTTTACGGAAGAAATGTCAAAGTGTTGAAAAATGATCTTATATTTTTCTCCTTGTAACCTTGTAATTAAACGTATTTTTTCATTTTTTAATAACAAAATGGAAGTTTTGCGACAGGCTTGGCTCGGTATATTTGGCCCGGCGTGGTAATTATTGAAATATTTAGTATTTAACATGTTGTTAGGCGGTGGCTAAAAAAGTGTGGCAACTTTTTTTGCTTATTGCTTGATTTGTTGTAATTTTTGCTACTTCGGCTTTATAAAAAATGTAACAAAATTTCATCGTTATGGGGGCTAAATCAGTTTCCTGTCCAAATTTTCAAAATTTTTATAGAGATTTCATTCAATTCAGCCTTAACTCTAACTTAATTTTTCATCGCTTCAAACCCAAGCTAGGGCCACGCCTTTGAGTGCAATAGTTGTATTTATTCGTCCATTTACATTGTTAACATCTTTTTTTGTTTTTATAAGATTTTAGCAGTTATTTAATCTCGTAAACCTATCTATTTTTAACTGTTTGCTCCTAAATTTTTTTTGTAATTTTTTATCGTGATGAAAGTTACAAATAATAGTAGAAAATAAAAATAATTACATATGTAAAACATATTTATTTAATTTGTAGAACTACGAATGGCTGATTTATTGTTTACCCGGTTGTTGCATTTTATCCGATTAAATTTTTTTTTCCGTTGACACTGGTTTATTTTTGGCGTTATTGTTTATGTTAAATAGTTAAACTTTGGATATTCTTGCATTTCTTACTATGAAGGCGCTGGTCGTCGTCTAGTTAGGTATTTTTTGTTATACAGCCATTAAATTACACATACGGAATGAAATCAAGCGTTTGACATGAACTCTGGCCAGGAAGCAATTTTGCCTCGTTAAGTGCTAGATCCGTGTTAATCAATTTGTTTTGCACTGCGCCCCACCAACCCGGTCCAAAAAATAGGTTTTGTCCACACATCTCTTTTTCTCTCAAAAACATTTTCCTCCAGTCCGCTTACAGGTCAGGCGTCTCAAACGAAACAGCACTCATCTATGTTCGTGACAATCGGACCAATTTTGAATTTTGCTCAGCCTGGACTTGTCAGCTGCATTTTGACACTATTAACCACCAAATGTTACTTGGTAGACTGGAGTCTGAGTTTGGAGTTCTCTTCTTTTTTGGTTTGGTTCATACCAAAAAATTTGGCTCTCATTCTTCCTTTGACCGATGAAGTTCCTCGGGTATGTACTTGGATCCCTACATTTTACTACATATATCTCACTTCTTTCAGACATTACCGCAATATTAGACGTTATTCATCATCACTACGCGAACAACATCTCTCTCTTCACAGTTATTTCTAAACCCCATCTCACCTCACAACACGGAAATTTAAGCGTCTGCACAAACGATATTAAAGACTGGCCCCAATCAATTTTCTCTAACTCTATACAGACAAATCTGCAATTATGTATCGAGGCAACGGGCAACAACCATCAAATAAGTCCCATCAACTATCAGTATTGCTGGCTCCTCTCTACCGTTTTCAAACATCATCAAACATTTAGGCGTTTCGCTTTATCCTTTTCGAATTTTCATTTGATCTTCACATATCAAATGTAATACCTAATAAAACACTAATAAAACTACACTGGTTGCCTATTCATAAACGCATTATATTCAATCAATCAATTAGCTTATAATGCGCTATTTCCGCGATGTTCAACAGCATGGGTCTTGAGATCCGCCCTGAACTTCGTAAGTGATGAGGAAGTAGTCAGAGAAGGAGGTAAAGAGTTCCAGAGAAGAGGGCCAGAAAAAGCAAATGCAGATTTAGCAAAAGATTGTTTAACATGAGTTAAGAAGAAGTGAGAAGAAGAAAACGATCGTAAACCGGGCGATTAGGTTCAATTAATATATCTGATAAGTACTTAGGAAATAATTTAGATTGAAACTTATACAAAATGTGCAGATTTGAAAAATTATTCTATATTTTATAGGTAGCCAGTGCAGGATAGGGTATAGAATCAGGAAGACCATATTAGAGCGAGTTACAATAAATAATCAATCCTAGATAAGACTAACGAAGTAACAAGTAGGGGAAGAGTAAAATCGTCAAGAAAAAGCAAAAGGTTTTTATTCTAGCAACACTATTAATCTGAGAAGAAAGGGACATACTAGAATCAAAGATAAAGCCTAGACTACGAAACTTGTGAGAAACATCAAATGTTTTAAAATCAGGTAAGATAATAGGAGGAATAGAAATAGAGTGTTTAAATTTATTAACACAAATTAATTCAAATTTAAAAGGATTAAGTTTAAGACACATTGAGTCAAACCAAGCGATAATTGGAGAAAGATATAGCGATAGATTATAAAGAACACTATTGAGATAAGATGGAGGAAAAAAAATATAAATATAAAAATCATCAACATATATTTAACTAGTGAAAGAAAAATTATTAATAATACGAAGCAGTTCAGAAGTATAGAGTATAAATAGAAGAGGGCCAAGGATAGAACCCTGAGGTACCCCAAAAGTAAGAGTAGAGGAGTTTGAAGTAGAATTATTGAGGACAACAGAAGAAAAACGATGACAAAGATAAGAAGAAAACCAAGATAGACAAGAACTAGTAATGTTAAAAGAAAGATCTAGCAGCCTCAATAGAATAGTATGATCAAAAGCAGAAGAAGTCAAGAGCAAGAAGAAGAGTAAGATTCAAACTCATGGTTATAATCTACCAGGTAACACAAACAATAACCACAAAATCTTTACAATTTTTTGTATTTTCGACAACATTCCCATAGCCATCAACTCTGATCAAACTCAAATACTAATTTATATTAACCTGTTAGCAAGTCTTCTTTCGCCAATAGGAGTTTTTCTTTTGTGCTTCTCTGTGTAACAACTATCAACTCCACAACAGTGGATAGGTATGAACCAAACCAAAAAAGAAGAAAACTCTTGTCAGAGAATAGCCATCGCTAAATCTATTAAAAAAGCAATTGAGGCACTTCTTGTTTTATCAGGTAACTTATCCTGAGCGTCCCTGACGCTATACATGGGGATTTTATAAATTAAATACTATTATTATTTATTATTATAGTTTCGTTTAGGATCGACCTAAATCGATAGCTTAGCTCCCGTCGAACTCGAAGTCATTAACATTTGAAATTATTGTGAGTAGATTGTATTTCTACATCAAGTGGTTTTTATAAATGGACTGACTTCTCGTTCAACGTGTTTTAGGCATTTGAAATATTTTTTGCGCACGATCATGTTCTATTAAAAATAAACATAGTGGTAAACTTATAATTTTTGGTCGAAGTATTTCAGCTAAGAAATTGAACTTTTAATGTAGTAAAAGTTACGAAATTTTTTTTTTTCAATAGTCTCTAAATAGTCGTGCAAGAACATCCAATTTTTATCAACAAAACAAAATTAAAAAGCTTTTTAATATCAAAATTGCAGATTAAATTAAAAACATTAATTCAACTGGTATGGTTAAACGGCACATACTGCAATCTAAAAAGCAGCACAAACTAACAAGAGAAAATGACGACTGTGCCCTTTTCGAAATGTTCGTATGTTAGCAGGAAAATTTCAAGTGATTTATGACATAGCTTAGAACCAGGTTGTTGATCGTTTCAGTTCATTTCAAATTATGTCATTTCACAGTAATGCATATCGTTGCAAATATAACTTATTACTTATTATTGTTATTACAACTTATTACAACAAAATATACTACTACATTACTACTACTAACTATCACTATTACTACTATCAATACTTGCAAAAATTAAATACACCTACACAAATTGTTTGAGCTATGAGTTAAAAAGAGCCATATCAGCAAATAACCATTAAAATTTATCTCATTACAAACCAATCAATCATGTTTAAAACCAATAACAAATATTTGGTCATCAATACTATCACTACTACTTCTACTACCACTACTATTTTCACTGCTACTACTACAACTACCACCAATTTGTAATAATAATAATAATAATGCTATCATCGCACTACTACTGCACACGTCGTACTAATACCACTACTTACTTCTATTACTACTACTATAACCATCTTTTATATTATAATTTTCGACATTTTTTATTCCTTAATGTTTTCCAAATACCATTTTTTCGTCGACCAGAGCAACAAAGCGACTTGGCTTATAACTATCATTGTTGTAGTTACTTATATTTTTATCAGAATTATATCAGGATGAGTCGGATGACAAACGTTTCAGACAGTATTTTTTATCTGTAGCAAAGAAGGATTACGTGAAGCGTGTTGCTCTAGTGTTGCATTTTTTTTTATCAGTGATATTAAGTTTTGCGGTGTATATTTGATTTTTGGATTTGAATTTTCTGAATTTTTCCTCAGTAGATTCAATTTGATTTAATTATCAATTTCCAAATAAATTTTTCGTAAAATTTCCGACTCCTAATCCGATTTCCTACTCCGACTCCGCTAATTTCGAATCCAAATTCCTACTCTGATTGCCTACTATGACACCGCCAACTCCGGGGCCAGGCAAAAAAGAACGAGGTAAATTTTATAAATATAAACTTTGAATAATATTTTAAAACATGATATATATATATATATATATATATATATATATATATATATATATATATATATATATGTATATATATATATTATGTAGCTATATGATTCGTCATATACAATTATATAGTACATACACGTGCACAAGTTCTTTTACACAAAGATCAGCTTATAATTTATGCATAACCCATGTTTTAGCATAAAGAAAATTGTCCAGCTCACCTCACAATTAGTGATGTTGTTATTATGTGTCATGTATGCTTAGCATTTAACTTATTGACATAAAATTAATTGAATTCAATGAAATTTTTTTTTCTATTTATAACATTTTGAAATGTTGATAGAGCTTTTGAAAAAAAATTTGAAAAAAAGCCGGATTTTGGCAGGGGCCGGGGCCGAACTTCGGTGCATCCCTAATATATATATATGTTATATTCGACTATATGTTTATATACGATTATAAACCGACC